GGTTATAGGAATACTGCAAGTACATATGGTACTTTACAATTTTCCAAATGTCTTTTCATATATTTATTTTTCCTGACATGCCAAGGAAGTAGGTAAGATGATTGCTGTCGTCCCTGTTATATGAATAAGAAAAGTGACATGGTTCAAAAAGGTCAAAAAACTTGCAACAAGTCACATAGCTAGGCACCACATATATGCAGTGTCTGGCCCATAGATGATTTTTATTTGGGTGTTCTTGTTATAACACCAAGATGCCCCTTGAAGGGTCTATTTCAGCAACATGTAAGTAAAATCACAATATTTAGAGCAGACAATACACTCTATTAGTCTTTTGACTACGTTAACAGATTATTTCAAATCATGTAATTTGAAGTTTTTTGATTGTACATTCCTTTTACTTTTAACTCAGAAAGAAGGACTGAGATTCTGGTGTTTCTTTAAAATAATTAAATGAGTTCAAAATTCATTACCACTCAACAAGTGGTTAAAGCAAAACCCAACAAGGACATCGCAGTGGGGCTGGTGAGAGGCACTGCTCTTCTATTCTGCAGAAGTTCAAAAGGCCAGTGATTACTGCGAGCCCAAACCACGAGAAAGCCATGAAACAGGAACAGATACTGGAGATACCTCCTCTTGATTGCTATCTTCAAAAACGACCTACTCTGCAGTGTAAACACAAGGAAATCGAGTGAAACATACTCCTCAATGATGAGGTAGCAGACGTATTGAACTAGTACATCTACATGTTTGAAAACTGGAAGTTCCTGCTGTCAGATTTAAATACTGCTGTGACAAGTTCAAACGAGCTCTACAGGTCATCAGACCTGTAGACTGTCACAATAGAGAACTCAAACACTGAACTGCCACATCTGAAAATTAATCTACTGCATATGCGTGGCACATTTTTTTATTCACTAGGTATTTATAAGGATAAGTCAGAAGTATTACTGAGCAAAGAAGTTTGAATCTACTTATTCATTACTAGCCATTTAGGTCACTAGCAAAGGTTTTGAACTGGACTGGAGGTGTGGCTCAAGTGGAAGAGTACTTGCTTTCCAAGTGCAAAGTCATGAGTTCAAACCCCAGTTTCACCAAGGAAAAAAAAAAAGGATAAATAAAAAAAATTGAAAATAAAATTAAAAAAAAAAAAGGTTTCAAACTTATAAAGCTGTAGATATATGGATTTGTGTCTACAAAAGATAAAAGTAGTGGCCATGGGTTCTAAAGGCAAAGTTCTTAAAATATTACATGACATCTGAAAGGATAAATAAACAAAGAGATTTTTCAAAGATAATCCTATGAAGACTGACCAAGCAAAGGATTGTACCAACATACTACTCATCAGATTGACACATTTTGTGCTCATGAATGAGGTAGGCAAAACTTTAAGAATTGAATACAATTACTCTTTCAAGAGAGAGGCATCAAACTGGTGGATGCTATATGTAGTTTAGTCATGAGTTCTAAATGTTACAGTACCAAGAAAATAATTATCCAATGCTAAAGTGTCTGTTTCAAAAGATCAAAAATAATGTAGAAATGAGAACATGTAAAGTTGTGGAGAGCTGCACCATGAATACACATAAGCGTGTGATAGTAAGAATAGAAGAGGATGATGCCTGAAAAGATAGTTATCAAGAGCAATGAAAACCCTATTTGACAATCACCATAATTTTTATAGATGTAATTAAGAGACCAAGCTACTTTCTTACTGAAATTACTAGCTAATAATCAACACTGAGGATGAAACTTCTGTATTAACTTGGGATTCGTTATGGTCTGGGTTTTAGAAGGTCTGTGAACTTCTGGAATACCATGTACAACAGTGGGTGTGTGAGTATATGTACATATTTTCTGGAAGAGGTACTCACAGCTAAAATCAGATTTTTTTTTTTGTGTGTGGTTCTGGGGTTTGAGCTAGGCAGGCGCTTTACCACTTGAGCCATGCCCCAGCTCTTAGATTTTCATAGGGTTATCAGATTCAAAAAAATGAGTATTTACCATACTAAAGTCAAGTTGTTTATCTAGGTACAAATATATAACTAGATCTTATATAATCCAACCAATATTCCATAAGTCTAAAATTAAGAAAAGTTTGGACTGTCCTAAATTATTCACAAAAATGTTTTATAAAAATGGAAACTGGAGTTACCATAAAGGAAATGTCAAGTCACAGAATGGACACTGATAGAGGTTCCATATGATAAGTATTAACTCTAGTGCTGAAATAATACTTTAAAAACATCTAAGAAAGAGAGGTTAGATTATTCTGAAAGATTTCTTTTCCTTGTGGTTAAAGAAAGGGTAGAAAGGGCTATTATCTGGGCTTACTTATTTGGACAGATTCCTATTTATGTATTAAAAAGTATCTTTTGGTGCTGGGGATTGAATCCAGGGCCTGGAGCACGAGAAGCATGCACTCTAACACTGTGCTACACCCTAGCCTTGTTTTTAAAATAAAAGACAGAAGCACTAGAATGTAGATCTCACAACCTGCACGAGCTTGTCCTAGAAACCCAACTGGGGGCGACTGGAGATGCAGAAAGGACAAAAGATAGAAGACAAACATGCAGGAAGCTGGGGTTAGGTGTGCTGGGTGCTTGGATGGAGATGCAACAACAGCCTCGTTGCTTCTTTTTTACTTTGCTTCTTTTCTCCATTCTTTAAAACCTTACTTCTTTTCTATTCTTTAAAGTCTCGGTCCTTAGACTCGCACTGTCCCATGTTTCCTCTAATCTCTAGCATTAACTCCTAAAGTGTTGGTCCTTAGACTTGTGGACACACAACAGCAGCTGCCAGCAACATCAGCAGTAGCAGTCAGCAGCGTCATCAGTGGCAGCCAACCTCACAAACAGACAACCATGTTCTCCTTCAGCGAGTCTTTTATATACAGTGGCAAACAAGGAGGTGGAGCAACAGTTCTCAGGGAGGGTTGTGACACTGTAACATGAGAAACCTGCCATTGCTACTCTCCGAACATAAACATCTTATGAAAAGCAGCCATGCTACATTTTGCCCTCGCTCCCTTCTGTGGCTGGGGTCATACCAACTCAGCCTGCAGATTATTGAGCACAGCTGTGCTTATGTCACATTCTTATTGGCGTCTCATAATCCACTCCCCACATGTAGAGATGAAATGTTGAGAGAACTAAACTGTTTTAAAACAAAGGTGATAGTAGTGTCTTGGAACTGAATGGGTACTGTGCAGATTACTACAATATTGAGATTTCTCTGGGGGAGACAGATGCTAGATGCCCAGAACTGATAGGCCAGGAAAGCAAAAAGAAAAATTGTCCCATAGCAGTTTGTGTACTGCTGGTTGTTCATCAAACTGAAAAATACTGTAGCAAAGGGAGCCTAGAAACTAACTCCACTATACATATTTCTGCAAAGCAGTTCTTATACAAGTTTAATTTCCAAGACTATAACTACTAGGACATGCTGTATAAATCAAGAGTTTGATTGCATTTTTCTTGGGTGTTTCCCAGGAGGTGCTCTTGGAGTTGAATGGACAAAAGAAACTATCATCTCCAATTGCTGTTTCTTTCTTTTATGTTCAGCGAGGACACTACTGATTTAAGAAGACTCATACAGAGAAAAACTGGGAAGATCCTAGTAACAGGAGGCATTTTGCTAGAAATACTGTACCAATGCTGGCTTCTTAGTTGTGACAAATGTATCTTGCAACAATGCAAGATGCAAAAAATGGGGAACAGTGAGAAATGACCAGCAATCTTTGCAACACTTTGTAAATCTAAAACTATTCTAGTAAAATGGTTATTTTAAGGTGGATGGTGGTGACTCATCCCTGTGATCCTAGCTATCCAGGAGGCAGAGGTCAGGAAGATTTTGGTTCAAAGCCAGCCCAGGGCAAATAGTTCCTGAAACCCTATCTCTTAAGCACCCAACACAAAAAAAGGACTGGCAGAGTGGGTCAAATGGTAGAGCATCTGCCTAGCAAGCATAATGTACTGAGTTCAAAACTCAATACCATCAAAAACAAACAAACAAATGAACAAAAAAACCCAGGTTATTTTAAAAAGTTTATGTTTAGAGATACACAGAAACTTCAAATTCAGACAACTGTTCTTCCATTTGTGTTAGTATCAGTACATTTAAACTAAGGTTGAATTGCTAAACTAGAGATTTTCATGTTAATAATGGTTAAGCTGGGCATGGTGGCACATGCCTATAATCCTAGCACTTGGGAGGCTGAGACAGGAGAATGGTGGATTCAAGACCAGCCAGGGCTACACAGTGGGACCCTGTCTCAATAAAAAACAAAATAACAACAACAAAAAGGTTAAATATTAGCAAGTTCATGAGGTTCAAAGCATAGATGGGCCAAAGTTAATGGACTGCATTACAAAGATGAAAATAAAGGTACTTTTTTATTGCTGTTGTCATTGTGCTATCAGTAGAACCCAGGGCCTTGAGATAAATGTACTTTTCATTCTCAGAAATAAATCAGTTTTAGTCTACTGTACATGCACACCTTTTCCTTGGAAAATTCTCTGTGTGGTCATTTTATTTCTGATTTTAGCTTGAGGTTAGTAAAGGAAGGTGTCACAAAATACTTATTATTAGAAAAGGAGAAAGGGTTGGAGAGGGTTGAAAACCACTTAACTAAACAAAATATTAATAAGCAGAAGAGAAAGATTATAGTACAGTTTATCTGTGAGGCTTCTACCAAATTCCTATGGAGAAGGAACGAATTACAAGGAGAGCACACTGGATCTGTAACCTTCCTTAATGACAGTCTATTCTTTCTCCATAAGCAGGTATTCAACAAAGCTCTTTGATGAGTGAACTAACCTCAGAGTACAAATAGGTTGTGAAAAACGATGCAAGAAGGAAAATTTGGGGTCGTTTAAGGCCTATGAAACCTTCTACATGTTCAGTTCTGAAAAACTCATTAAGTGGAGAAATCTGACAGCAGCAAAAAAAAGGAAAAAAAAAAGGAAAAGCAGTTGGTAGGTTCACCATAAGAAATCACTCACCTGTGCACAAATCTGGTGCATGACATGACCAAACTCATGGAAGTAAGTCCGCACCTCGTCGTGTCTGAGAAGAGAGGGCCGCCCTGCTGCTGGCTGTGAGAAGTTCACCACAAGGGCCGCCACAGACAGCATCCGGCTGCCATCAGGGAGAAGACAGCCAGGCTGTAGACCAAAGCAGGCGGCATGATTGTATTTTCCCTCCCTGGGAACACACAGGGATGACAGATGAAAACATTTCTTTAGCAATGACATTGGTGTGGTCGGTCTCAGTTCATCAAGCCATATTTCACTCCAGAAGACATTTTAAACATTTAATTCACTCTTCAGAAAGCAAGTTATATTGCTAAAATGTAAAAAGAAAAACTAAGCAAACAATGACTCCACTAGGGTGAGTGGGGTGCTTGGGTGAGTTATCTCCAAGGTTTCATTTGTGGAAAAACTTCAACATAACAAGAAAGAACACCACATCTAAGGTGCAATGAATTTCTCTGTCTCTCTCTCTTTTGTGTGTGTGTGTGTTAGGGATGGAGCTGTGGTTTTCATGTGTGCTGGGCAAGAGCTCTACCACTCAGCTACATCCCTAGCCTAGTCCAATTGGTTTTACTAAGCCTCTGTTTTTCTTCTTTAGATACAGTCACAAATCATTACATAGTATTGAAGCAAATTTAAAAGATAGTTTGACTGACTAGGTAGTTTTTTCTCCTTCAAGTTAGAATTGATAAAAAAATAAATAAACTTCAGATAAGAACATTTTTCCTTACATTCAAGTAGGGAAGAATCAATACTCACAATTAAATGGGTTTTCTTTTTCTTTTTTTAAATTAAAATAGATGGGTCTTTTAGGGACAGAATGCTTTTAGTCAGCCTGGGAAAAAGCATAAATCATACCATGACATCATCTATTCTTGGACAACGTGGTATCAGCGATGGGCTCTATGAAAGCTATTCATCACTAGACCACAGTCTAGGATTACATTTCCTGGTTCGTCTTCTTTTTTTCTTCAGAATACTAATAGTACATGCAGATTTGGGCTAGATTTTTTTTTTCTTTCCTTTTTTTGGTGGTATTGGGGTTTGAACTCAGGGTCTCATACTTGTGAAGCAAATGCTCTAAATCTGAGCCACGCCCCTAGCCCTGGCCAGATTTTTTTGGTTTAATATTTTTTTATTTGCATTTTTTTCTGTATTATCTTTCCTTGGTGACTTGTATTACTTTTTTTTCTTTGTCTGCTAATGCCATTCACATAAAAAAAGGATCTTTTTCCAGCCTCCAGTTAGATGTATAAAACCAGGAAGAGAACTGTCTTTACTACAGCAAGTTGGCAGAGAATATGCAGATCACAACTTGTCCAAGCCCATCAGAGAGCTGATGTTGAAAGGCAATCAACCAACTCACAGCCTAGACAGGGCTTCCAAGAAGAGAGAGGAAGGAAGGAAGGAAGGAAGGAAGCCTTTTTTTTTTTTTTTTTTTCAAGTTAAAACCTGGGGCAGACACTGAAGACTAGTAAGAAGAGATTTCAGCAAATTGCTGAAGGCTGGTGGTGGGCTACCCAAAATAGGGAACCATTAGAGCTGTGGACAAGGAAAAGTTTGAATCCTTTTGCAGGGTTGTCTTCTCAGGCCTCACTGATGTGCATAATAAAGGGGACAAGGTGAGAGCCTGAAAAGGCGGGAGGTGGGGGGGAGCAGCTGCTGTGTGGGGTGTGAGAAGCACTGCTTAGATGCTTTTTACTTGGCTCCTATGAAAGGCTTAACCTTTCCCTGGAAGGTCAAGAAACCTTACTGTTCTTAGAGCACTGGTGAAAACCCAATGCCCTTTGGGGAAGGGAACAGAAAAACAGCCTCTAGCCCTGGAGGAATGATAGAAATGCATCACAGGCCCAGACCTACAGATGAGGGTAAGGGAACATCACTGCTAAGTCCCATTCCTACGACCCAAGGACACAGAGCCCACTCTGCGTTGAAGACTGGCGCTCAATCCCCTAGCCAGGCTGACAAACATCCAGTAACGAATTACTGGTTCACTGCAGGGAGAGAGTGAGAGCTGTGATGAGAAGACCTGCTCTGAGACACAGCACAAAGGAAACTTGGTTTAGTCAAAGGTGGAACAAACCCTGCGAGAAACTCTTGCAAATCAGTTCCTACCTTAAGCCCAAGACAGAGGAATCTGAAACTTGTAGCATATTGAGGTAACCATGGCTGCAACAGATCTCAAACTCAGTTCACTACAATCACATTAAAAGCCTAGCAGATGTAAATGTGTGGCCATTTGTAGGCATAAAGCTGTTTAACTCAGTCTTTACTGTCCTGAACTAATCTCTGGCTTGCAAAACACTTGTAAGGCATACAAAGATGGAAGGCAATAAAACAGTACACTGTCAAGAAGCAAAGCAAATAAGACAACCACATTCCAATGTGACAAAGATGCTGGAGCTATCACAGTATTTAAAATAACCAAAACTGATATGCTAAAAGGTCTGGAGGAAAAAGTGGATGCTATGCTTGGTCAGCTGGATAATTTTGGTAGAGTTGGAAACTATAAGAAAGAATCAAGTGAAGATGCTAGTGCTGGGTGCACTACAGCTCACACCTGTAATCCTAACTACTCAGGAGGCAGAGATCAGGAGAATCGCAGTTCAAAGCCAGCCCAGGCAAATAGTTCATGAGACCCTACCTTGAAAAACTCTTCACAGAAATAGGGCTGGTGGAGTGGCTCAAGGTGAAGGCACTGAGTTCAAGCCCCAGTACCAAAAAAAAAAAAAAAAAAAAGTGAAAATGCTAAAAACAAAGAACATAGTAACAGTAAGCACCTTAGACAAGTTTAATAAGCAGACTGGACACAGCCAAGGAAAGAATGATTAACTCAAAGGATTATAGAAATGACCCTCTTGTGGCTAGGGATGTAGCTTAGTAGAGTACCGTGTAGTATGCATAAGGCCCTGGGTTTGATCCCTAGCCTGCATTAAAAAAAATAAAATTACCCTCTTGAAAACACAAAATGTAAAAAAAGGATGAAAAAAACCCAAAGAGAACAGAATATTAAGAGCTATATGGCAATGTCACATGATCTACCATATGCTAGAGAATATCAGAAGAATAGAGAGAGAGCAGGAAAGAAGAAACATTTGAGGAAATAATCCCCAAGAGTTTTCCAAAATTAATGATATCAAACCACAAGTCCAAGAAGCTCAAAGTAAATGAAGGAAATAAATATAAATACAAAACAAACAAAAAAAGTATCCCATTTGATACAATGTAACGCACTGTGCAGTAAGCTGTTGAATATCAGGGGAGCATGGCGATAGAGGATGAGTAAGTAACAGAGGGCAGGGGGATTAATTTGGTAAAAGCACAATACATACAGACCTGAAGTACCAAGATGAACCTTCCTTGGACTATCAATATACACTTAATTTTAAAAAATGAAGGGCAGGAGGGAAAAAATAAAACTTTTCTTGGGGTGGGTACCAGTGGGAAGAGGATGGGCACAAGGAAAGGGGGAATGAGGGTGAATATGGTGGATGTGTTTTGTATCCATATATGAAAATAGAAGAATGAACCTGTTAAAATTGTTCTAAGAAGCGGGGAGGGAAGAAGAGGAAGAATGATGAAGGGGTAAGATATATTTTAAACACATATGTAAATATCACAATGTACCCCCTTATAAAACTATTATATGCTAATAAAATCACAAAAAAAAAGAAGAAAAAGTATTCCATTTGCCTAAGTATATCGATGCTGCTAAAAGTGAGATGAAGAAAGGCTCTTATGGTGGAGGTGACCCTAAACAATATATGAGGAAAGCATATTCAGAAATATCACAATGAATCCCCCTGCACATCTAATGTATGCTAATAAAATGCTTTGAGAAAACAAAAAGAAACTCTTAGAAATCACTGTTGTGTTTAGAAAACACATTTTCTAATCAAAGCATTGTTGTCTTTTTCACTTGCTTTAAAGATGATCTACCTTTCCATCTTTCCCTAAACTGGAGGGTAAAAACCGGAGTTTTCCTTATATTTTCTGTCTGTAGCTCTATGTGTTTAGCTGCTTGATACATTTTGTACATTGTCTATTATCTTCAAAAAAGAAAAGAAAGGCTTTTGAAATCAACCAGAAGAACACATTACATACAAAGGGCCAAAAGTGAGAATTACAGCACACTTCTCATCTATTCAAGTCAAAAGACTCCTTTAAAATCAGTGAGATCCTTAAAGGGCTGAAAGAAAACACATGTAAACCCAGCATTTCACGTATAGAAAAAATATCTTCCAAAAAATAGAGGAAGGAAGGAAGAGAGGGACAAAGAAAGAAAGAAACTCTCAGACAAACAACAACTTAGAGAATACACTGTTGATAGATCTGAATTCTGAGGCATTTTAAAGAAAGTTCTTCAGACAGAGAGGATGATACCAGATCCAAACTTGGACCTACAGAGAAAGAAATAGTACTGAAAATGAATGAAGATAAATGTAAAGTATACTTAATTTAATTGCTCTGAATAACTGACTACTTGAAACAATAACATTAATGTGCACTGATTATAGTTTACATCAAAGTATTACGCAGGCCAACGGCTGCACAAATGGTGAGAGGGAGAAATTGGGAATATATTGCTAACTTCCGTCTGTTACAGGCAAAGTAGTATAATAGTATTTGAAAGTGGGCCTTGATTAATTAAAGATGTATACTGTAAACTCATGAGCAGCCATTAACAAAAATTTTAAGAGAAATATAACTTATAAGCCAATAGTAGAGATGAAATTGAATAATAAAAATAATCCTCAACTAACCAAGAGAAGGCAGAAAAGAGAAGAAAAGGTACAGAGGGAACAAATCGAAAACAGTTGATAAGATGATAGATTGTTATACTATGACATCAATAATTACATTAAATGTAAGTAGTCTGAGTATGTAATCTAAGTATAATTGGTATGAGCATCTCAATTAAAAGAGATTATCATGGTGGATTAAAAAAAGCAAATTCATCCAGGCATGGTGGTTCATACCTATCATCCTAGCTACTCAAGAGGATGAGCTGGGAGAATCCTAAGGTCGAGGCCAACATGAGCAACTTAGCCAGAAACTGCCTCACACAAAAGAAAATAAAACTCTGTATGTTACCGATAAGAAACTGAACAAAAACACACAGATAAAACAATGGGAAAAGGTACATCCCAGAGATGTTATTCAAAAGGAAGCTGAATGGCTATAGGAATAGCAGACAGAGTCAACATTAGAACAAGGAGTTTTATCCAAATAAGGGGCAATGATAAAGGGGTCAAATTCTGAGAAGCTATAACAATCCTAAAAACAGAACTTTAAAACACATGAAGCAAAAATTTCTCTATTTCTGGAAGAGAAATAGATATGCAATTAAAAAGACTTCAGTTTTTTCTCAGAATTTGATGGAACAGGCAGCCAGAAAAATCAGGATACAGATCTGAACATTATTGATCAACACTATCTAATTGACACTGATAGAATCCTTCACCCACCAATACCAAAATAAATACAAGACATGCACTGAGACTGATTATATGCTGGCTATAAAATAAATCATAGGAATTTAGAAGAATAGAAATAATCAAAGTGTAAATACATTCCAACCATTATAAAACTCACCTAGAAACCATAGAAAAGCTATTCAGGAAAATTGCTAAATCTTGGAACTTACAACATACTCTAGGTGTTAATCCGTGGGCCAAAGAGAAAACACAAAGGAGAACAGAACATATTTTTTGGAATGAAAATGAAAGTAGAACACATGGAAATATATGGCATGTCACTTAAGTACTGTTATAGATAACTTTATTGCTAATGTTCAATGGATCACGGCTGAGCTAGGAGTAAGCCAGGACAGGAGCAGGGAGGCAGACAGCAGGGGGACCCCAGAAACTGCACAGCCAGCTCAGTCTCCAGGAGCCCAGTGGGCCCATCAGTGTTCCTAGAAAGACTTCCTGCAGGGAGTTGGAAGTATATAAACAAGTAAATACATTTCAAAATCTTAATTAAATGGGGGAAAACTAGCTATAGAAATCTGGAAACTCCTTATTTGATTACTTCTTATGTGTTGGTATATTATGAAACCCTGTGTATGCCTGGCATGAGGGTAAAACAGGTGTGACTGCACTGGAGAGACAAAAGCTAAGCAATTTTTTCCTGAAACTCTTTGGAGAACTTTAAATTTTTTGGTGTAAAATCAAAAACTTTCAAAATCAGTGCTATTTTGATGGGTTTTAAACTTTCCTTTAAAAAAATACACGTGATTTATTTAATTCAGAAGTTGTCCATAGTCTGAGATTAATACCTTTTATTATCAGTGAGCAAATTTACTGCTCACTCAGTCAAGTAGGTCTGGCTGTCTTAGTTTGCTTTTGCCGCCACAGGGCACCTCGTCCAGGTGATTTTTTGCCATAATAACTTAAGGGAAAGGTAATTTGCCAGAACGAAGAGACACCCTAGAGAATGGGAGACAATCTTGCCAGTTATTCACTGAACAAGGGACTAACACCCAGAATACAGAGAGCTCAAAAAATTAAACACCAAAGGAACAAGTAATCCAATTAACAGGCAAATGAAATGGGCAGTTCTCCAAAGTATAAGTAACCACTAAATACATGAAGAAATGCTAGACTCCCTTAACCGTAAAGGAATGCAAATCAAAACAACATGGAGATTCTCCTTCACCTCAGTCAGAATGGCTTTCATTAAGAAAACAACAAATTGCAAGGATGAAGGGGGAAAAGCAACCCTTTTACGCTGTCAGTGGGCATGTAAATTAGTACAGACACTATGGAAATCAGTACGGAGGCTCCTCAAAAACTAAACATAGAACTGCCATATGATCCAGCAATTCCATTCCTGGGCATATATGTGAAGGAATGTAAGTCAGCATACCATAGAGATAGATGCTTGCACATCCATGTTTATTGCAGCACTATTCACAACAAATTATGGAATTAGCCCATGTGTCCATCAACTGATGAATGGATAAAGAAAACATGGGATATATACACAATGGAGTATTATTCAGCCATAAAGAATGAAATTATGTCATCTGTAGAAAAATGGGTGAAACTGGAGATCAGGTTAAATGAAATAAGCCAGACTCAGAAAGAGAAATACTGCATGTTCTCTCATATATGTGGAAGCTAGGTCTAAAGAAAAAAAAGTATGTGAATATAAAAGGGGGATTATTTGGAGGTGGGGCAGCAGGTGGTGGGGAAAATTGAGGGTGAATGGGGGAGAACAGGATGGAAGTACATTGTATGCATGTCTAAAAAGGTCATAATGAAACCTGTTTAAAAACTGGAAGAGAGATAAAAAGGGGAAGAGGGATAAGAAAGAATAATAGAGAAGAAGAATATGTTCAAACTATGCTACATGTGTGTAGGGAAATATCACAACCAATCTCCCCCATTGTACAATTAGTGTGTGCTAATAAAAATTTGGAAAAAATAGACCTAGCTACATTTGACATGGTTTTATTTTATGTCATATCATAAGTGATGTTATGTATAACACAGACGCTAAAAGATACCTCTGTCCATGAACTGGATGACATAGTTACCCAATTTTCTTCTCTGTACCCATAGGCAGTGGAGTTACTGAACTATGGGTACCATAATTTCCTTTGGTCTATTTAGTAAAACAGATTAGTAAAATTTCAACAGGTTAGTTTTGTTTTAGAAAGTAGCCTAGGGAGAAAGAGATCCAAATCCTTTTGTGTCTGATGAAACATTTTGGAGTACCACACGCTCACAGGGATGTTTTAAATAATTCTTGTCAGTGAAGGATGGCAGGGAGATTTGCAGATAGTTTTTAATGTACAAATGACCCTGTGAGGGGATTATCATTCTCACTTAGAGAGGAATGAACAGTCTCAAGGAAACTATATCAGGGCTGGAGGTGTGACTGAAGTGGTAGAGGGCCTGCCTAGCAAGTGTCAAGCCCTGCGCTCAAGCCCAGGACCACCAAAGAAAAAAAAAGAAAGAAATTAAAAAGAGGCTGTATCATTAATGCCAGTGTTCAAACTCAAGTTAGATAGACTGCAAAGATTTTGCCATTCCCACCATAGTGTGCTGACTCTCAGCAAGACTGAGGGGAGTGGCAGATGATCTGAAAAAGAAACATTTTGAGGATCAACTTCAAATGAAGTAAATGTAGTCCCTGGTAATGACAATGGCAATTGCTAGTGTTTATTAAGCACTTGCTATGTGCCGGGCAGTATTCTAAATGCTTGCATGTAATTAACCAATTTAATTTTTATAATAATCTAAAAACAGGTGCTACTAGTATTCCCATTTCATAGGATCTAAAATGTAGGTAAGGAAACTGAGGCACAGAAAAATTGCGTGCCTTTCCCAGTAAGTGATGAAGACAGACATTCTGGCTTCAGAGCCCACATTTTTTAACATTTCTATTAGGAACCATACATGGGAAACATGGGAAGGAAAGAGTCTTAAACCAAGTAGTGGTGCAATCCCTAGGGTCACCTCTACCAGTGCAGTCCTCCGTACCTTGGGTAGAGGTCCAGGTAGAACTGTCCCAACACTTCTCCTGTAGCTTTATCCTTCACAGTGTAAAGTGTAACACTTTTATTCCAAACATGGGCATCTGTTACTTGCTCAAATGAAAGTCCCAGCAACTCCTGGTAGATACTGAGCAAGCCTTGGGTGACCACCTCAATTGGGAAGTACTCTTTGAGAAACTCTTGGTCTATGGAGTATTTGAGCTGCTCCGTCTGCGTCATGTAGTAATGGAGGTCCCAAGCATTGATCTTCCCATCGTATTCAAAACCTCTCTCTTCACATTCCTTTTTCTTCAATTTCAAAATAAACTCTCGTTCTGCCTCACCCAGGGGTTTCAATTTCTGGCTTAGATCATCTGTGAGGGAAGTGGGAAGAGTTACTGATGCTCTTGGGAACAAGCATAGTCATGCATCCTGCTGGTATTCAAATGCTACACAGAAGTTAGAGGAAAGAGAGAAGGAGAGAGGAGGAAAGCAAGCTCTATCAGGGGAGCAGGGCTTTCCCTCCAGCATGATTTATATTATGACGCCTTTGCCTTTCTCTTTTAGCACCATCGAAACGTGGCCATGATTTCCTGATAGCATCACTTCACCTCAAAGAACTCTGACTCAAGGGTATTATAATTTAGGCTGGGCGTGCTGGTACATGTCTATAATCCCAGCCCTGGGGAGAAAGACGATCTCAAGTTTGAGGTACTTAATGAGACACTGTCTCAAAAAAAAAGAAGATTAAAATTCAGGGAACACACACTAGTAGAACTAAGATCATGGTACCTGATTGTTCTTCAATGAGGTTAAGTTCTCAAGAAAGCCAGGGGGAAACAAGTCAGACAATGACCTTCAGCCAATATCATCTGATAGCCATGGGTTTAGTTTCTTACTACCCCATTCTGGTGAAGAAAGACGATTTAGATATAGCAGTTCTAGATATCAGCTGGAGAAATTTCTGACTGTTTTTTATTTGGTTAAACAAATATGCTCTTATATGTTTATTTTTCACAATTTGTTACATATATTTTGATTTTGGGGAAGACAGGCTGTCACTATATCGCCTAGGCTGGCTTTGAACTTGCAGTCCTCCTGCCTTAGCCTTACTCCTTTCTGAAGTCTTAATGTTTAGTACACTGTCTAATACTAGGTAATGATTTTATAAATGCCTCATAAAATGTATAAGTGAGCCAGGCATGGTGGCACACACCTGTATTCCCAGAACTTGGGAGTCTGAAACAGGAAGACTGTGAGTTCAAGGCTAGCATGCGCTACATAGTGATATACTTTCTCAAAAAATGCATAAATATATTATATAATAATAAATTTCACTCACAAGTCATATATGAATTTTATATATGACTAATAAATCATGGTACGGCCTTAAGGAAATAGTGAAGTAAATTCACTATTAATTAACTTTTCCAATTTACTTATGTTAATAAAATAATATCAAATCAATAGATCAAATACTTTGACAAGTTGTTGAAAGTGAATAAAGTATGAAAGGGATTAGTAAAGAAAGTAAAAAAAATATATATATACTTTAGCCAACTCCAATTAGAGATGATTACAACGAAAATTAGTATTTTTACCATGGGTAAATTATTCAACCATCTTTTGCTAAGAACCAAAATGACTGTTGGAATAGTGACACCCAGACTGAGAGGGGGATGGGCAAGAGCCCCAGAGCACCAGCAACGCAATACCACGGACACAAGAACCATGGCCTTTGAAAGACTACGAAAAACCATGTAAAATGAGTGCAAATAGAGACATTAGACAGTTTTGATGCGCATTATCTTACAGTGCCTGCATATAGTAACAAGAGATTTCTGGAGGACAAGGTGTTGATTTTTTGTTAATGTATGTCTGGTTTTCATTTACATCATCTATTTCAGCTTATATCATACAAATTCCTAAGTAGCCATTCTGTAACTATCAGATACCTAGTGGCAGGTAAATAAAGGAAATAGGCTAAAACCCTCTGTTAGGACCCTAGATGTCATATGAGGAATTAGTGTAAAAATCCCAAACAAAGGTCAGGTATGGTGGCTCATTCTTATAATCCCAGTACCAGGAAGACTATGAAGCCAGCCTGGGCTTCATAGTGAGACCCTGTATGAAAACAAATAAACAAAACAAAGAAACAAAAAAACCCAAACTAGAATGAATTGAGGACTACAGCAGTAATTTAAATGGTAACCAGACAGACTATCTATCACAATAGGTGGCCAATAAATTGCACTTGAATGAATGAAAAAATAGGATGTTCTCAAAGGCAACAGTTGATTCCGTGGCCCTCTGTCATGTTGGTAGGATACATCAAAACAACTAACCTAGAAAGGCTGTCACATGGCTTGTGCTCTTGGCAGTGTTGAGTTCAAGGACAAAGTCAGCATGTGTGTTGTAACCCAGAAGCTTGGCCACTTGGGCCCGCAGTGGGAGTAGCTGTTGCAGGATTACAGTGTTTTCCTAGTAAAAAACACCAAAAACAAAAGCAAATGATTAATTGGACCCAAAGCACTAAAAGAAGAGTTATTACAAAACTGTCAAATATTTTGAGGCCATCTTAACTGCTGGTTCCATGTCAGTGTTAAGATACATATATACATGAACATATGTACACATACATATGTATATGTATATATATGTATATGTATATATGTATGTATATGTATATATGTATGTGTATATATGTATTTTAAAAAAAATGACCTAATTTTATTCCTGAAATAATTTATAACATTTTAAGCCTTTAAAGATATGAGGTCTTAATAAACATTGAGGTACTGTAAACTTAGAACAAAAATATATTTTAAGGACTATAGTAATTGCTCATTTATTCTCACTGGTAGAACTGCACCAAATGTTAGTAGTTGACATTTTTTGATGTGCTTATTGTGGTTAAAAATACACAGCATAAAATTTACATATGGCTATTTTATGCACACACATACACACAGGGATATAAAGAAATTACAACCTTTTTGTGCTACTGATGAGAACATAAAATGGTACAACTGCTATAGAAAATTACATGGTGATTCTTCAAAAAATTAAACATAGATGTACCATATGATCCACAATTCCACCTCTGGGCAAATACCCAAAAGAACTGAGAGCAGTGACTCTAAGATCTATTTATATGACCATATTTACAGCAGCCAAAAGATGGAAGCAACCCAAGTGTTCATCAACAGATAAATGCATCAACAAAGTGTGGTACATACACACAGTGGAGGTTAATTCAGCCTTAAAAAGGACATTCTGACACTCACTTCAACATGAATGAACCTTTAAGACACTTATGCTATATGAAATATGCCAGTCACAAAAGGACAAACATTACATGCTTCTGTTTATATGAGGGGTTCTAGAGTAATCAAATTCATGAACACAGAAAGTAGAATGGTGGTTGCCAGAGGCTGGGGACCAGTGAGAATAGGCGTTAATGCTCAGTGAGTACAGAGTTTCAGTTAGGGAGTGTGATAAAGTTCTGTGGATGGATGCTGGCGACACTTGCAAAACGTAAGTATTCTTAATGCCACATGCTATGGTCTAAATGTCCTCTTAAAGTCACATGTTGAAAATCAATCTGTATTATGGTGCTATTAAGTGATTGGGCCTTTGGTTAGTAATTAAACATATGGGCACTATGTTCACGAATGGATTAAGGCCACATAGAGCAGCTGGAGGGAAACAGCTTAGGCACTTTTCACCTTCCACCTTGTGAAGAAACAGTGTTTTCCCCTCCCCTCTGTGCATGTGAGCACATGGCAAGAAGGTCCTTCCAGACACTGCATGTCTGGCCTGGACTTTGGACTTCCCAGCCTGCAGAACTGTGAAAGTAAGCTTCTATTGTTTACAAATTGCCTAGTCTGTGGTGTTTTGTTATAGCAGCACAGATGGACTAACATACCACAGTGATCTACATTTAAAAATGTTTCAGAGATTTTCCCCCAAGTAAATGTTACACATATTTTCTATATTTTACATGCATTATAAACAAATAACATGATATTATTTTAACAATAAAAAAAAAAGTAAATGTTAAAGTAAAAGAAAACCAACCCTGGTATAAAATTACCAATTTCTTATGGGCCAATTTCTTATTTATTTACTTATTCATATATAAATTTTATTTTTATTGGCATACTATTGCTATGCTGGGGGTACACTGTGACATTTGAAAAGTTCTTAAATTCACCCCTTCCATCATTCAGCTTTATCACCTTCCCCCCCTTCTTAGAATAGCTTCAACATGGCTTATTTTTGATTTTCATCCATGAGCACATAGTATTTCCATCTTATATCATGGGCCAATTTCTAAGGAAGCTCACACACCAAGGTCAGACTACCTGGGTTGCTAGTTTGGCCCCTCCATGTCCTAGCTGCTGAACTTGAGGCAAATCCCTTCACTTGCTGGGCCTCAAGCTTCTCACTTCTCACTTTTCCCATTCCACGTAATTGTAGGGCAGCCATAACGATTCCAATGAGAATAAATGTCAGGGGCTTAAAAAACTGCTACCTCGTGAGTAAACGCTATGCTATTGCCTGGCATAACTGTTGTTATTTTAAAACAAAAGTGGAAACATGGAAAAGAAAAGCACATGTAACTCTTCAAGTTCTAAAATTAACTAGTTTGAATTTTTCTCCCATCTTTTTCGGTTTCCCCAGATCTTTTCTCTAGGCTGCCAACTTTCTCTAAATATTCATTCTCTCATTCTTCCTTTTAGTAAAGAACTCTGAGAAGTTGTCTTTTTTTGAGACAAGCTTTCTTTTTATAACCCAGGCTGGCTTCAAATTTGCTGTGTAGCCTATGCTGGACTCAAACTTGCAATCTTCCTGCTTCAGCTTAGAGCTCTGAGGTTTTGACACATGGTTACCTGGCTAACTTTCCCAGTCTTTCTTAAATCTATTTTAGCCCTATGACACTTAGCAGGACAAAGGAATGTGGGTGAAGTGATGAGTGAAATTTCTAGGTCCTCTCTTTATAGATGCTTGCCTTGCTTGCTGTGAACTGAAGGTGACAACAATGACCCTGGAAGTCACATATTGAGGATGGCAGAGCTGTTCTCCAGCTCTGGACCACTTCCTTCTCAAGCCTACTTTTTCACAGGGTCCCAAAGTAGACTCCACTAAATTGAGGAAGAGTGAGTGGGCTAGGCAAAACACAGAAGTCAGTGTATACGATTTGGCAGGAACTATAACCAAGAGGAATATTTGGATGCAGTTATTTTAACATGCACCTGATTAGAAGCAAACAGAAAAGAAGCTAAGTTTTTAAAGGAGTTTTATTACCAAGGATGACATAAGCCTGGCCTATAAAAGCCTGTGGTTATTTGATCCCTAAAGGAACTCACTCTCTCTCTCTCTACGTGCATACACACACACACACACACACACACACACACACACACACACACACACACACACATTTTTTTTTTTTGGTGGTGTTGGGTTTTGAACTCAGGGCCTCATGCTTGCTAGGCAGGCACTCTACTACTTGAGCCATTCGGCCAGCCCTAAAGGAACTCTCACACTTCGAACCTGCACCAGTAGGAATCTATACCAGCACTTCCCTAAGATATGGTCATGGAAGATAATAACGAAGAAAGAACTCCCTGTAGGCAAAACCAGGGACCAACTGATAAAGCAATTCTTGCCAGAAAGCAGACCCAAATAAATCCAATGTGCTAACCAAGGAACTTTGCTACAGTACAGAATCCTCATAATCTCTGCCTAACAGTTTTTGAAAATTGCTATGTACCTGTTAGATTTCCTATTTTCTCCTTCACCAAATGGTAGCTTTGTTTGAATGATGATTCTGCTACTAGTCCACCATAGAGGTGTGGGTCGGAAGCATGGGTACCTATAACTTCCTTTCATAGGCTGCTAAATCAGGACAAACTATGACTAGGGAGGACTGCATATCACTCAGAGATACTGACTAGTCTTTGACCTGAAGGCAGTAACTGGCTGGGAACTGACAAATGCTTCAATGAAAAAAAGACTGCTCTTAGTTGCCTGGATAGCCACAGAGACAGACAATGGTGGACCAGGCTAGTTGACTCTTGAGAACCCTTTTGAAATTCTTCCTTTTGATAATAAAAACCTCTAAGGCAAGCAAATGGCTGTCAACTAAAAACTACATTTCTCAGCTTTCCTTGCAGCTAGATGAGGCCATATGACGGAATCTGGGTCACTGGGATGTGAATGGAGTTGATTGATGTATAACATTTATAGGTCTTGTCCTTAAAGATGTGTCCTTATAGGTCTATGCTGTCTTTTCACGCTTTCCCAACAGGCTGAGGAATAGTCATTTCCAGGAATGACACTGGAGGTCACTTGTTGAGGAGGAGAGATACCTTACCAGCTCTGGACTGCTGACATAGGAGAGTAATACAACTTTCTAGCCTATTTACCCCATTCTAGTTTTATTAGAATTGCTTAGCCTGTGGCCACACCAACCAGAGTACCAACGAGCAAAGAAAAGGCTAACAGTGTTGTAGGGCTGAGGAATTAGGAGGTACACGCATACACAAACTGAGCTGCGTATCAGCAAAGAGAACAAAGCTATTCCTTACAATCTTTCCTTAAGAACAAAAAAAAGACAAACATTTATAGTACCTCTTTGCATCTTGAATGAAAAGCCATTTCCATCTTCCTTCTCGTTTCAGGGACACAACATTTCTTCATGACAGGAAAATAGTGTGGATATTTTAAGGTTATTTTATACTTGTCATCATTTGTCTTTTCTAAACTGTCAACGAAGTCATCAGGAAGAGCACCTGTGAAACATCATTTTCTCATAAATTGATTTTTCCACTCAGTATTAGTTTATTTAGAACCAGCACCAGGCCCTTAAGTAGCCCTAGGAATTTGGTGTAGTAATTGAAATTCAAGTAAAATAATGAAAATTCTTATAATATCATTTTGATTTTGTTGGAACAGGGGTGGTTGTGAGAGGCCAGGTGCCTCAGGAGATGGTAATTCAAAATATGACTAGCACCTGTGCAGATGGTGTTTTGATGGCGAGCAGGCAAAACTAAGCCAAAAAGGACCCAGAATAAAAGAGACTAATTTAAGTTACAATAGACGAGACACCACAGGGTAGAGAAACGTCCAGGCTCTAAAGGCTATTAAACACCAGCATAATTTACCAAGAATGATTGTGGGGAAACATTTATGAAATCTTCTCTGGACAGATTCTAGAAATAGTATACATTCTTAATAGGCTAAAGTCTAATTTTAGCTGCTTTGCTTGTCTTTTCTGTAGAAGGGGTGATGAAGTTAGGTATGAAATAATTTTTTAAAGAATTCTTTGAACTCTGGTTCAGGATTTTTATCTAAAAGCACAACAGCAACCTGTGAGGTGATGTTATTTGCTTAGATGACATAATTTAATCTAGCAAAATAAGAAAGCATGTACCAAGTTCAGCCTTAGAAAATACAAGGAAGGTATCATCCTCATTGAGGTTTTTGTTGAAGTCAATACAGAGTTCACTCATTCTTTTCTTCATTGATTTGATTTCCTGAAAAGAAAAAGGCAGAGTATTAATAGTGGAAAGAAACATTCATTTTTACTGCCGACAGTAAAGGAAGTCTCCCTTTTCTATGAAGACTGGATCTTGTTCCCCTCTTCCAAGAGCTGAGCTTGGTAAAGCAGCTTTTAGCAGTCACATGTCTTACAGAAAGACAAGACTGACCAAGTTTTAGAAATTAGTTATAAATGGGAAAAACTAAACAAATTAAGGCGTTAACAGTGAAAAGCAGTATCTGGCATACTGTACACACATGATAAATAATTGTTGAGTGAATGAGCAAATCTAGTAGCCCAGTACCAGGGAGCATACTCTAATCTCCAATTCAAAATTTAAATTTAGTAACAGTATCAGGTGCTGAAGTAAGCAAGGAGATAAAAACTGAGAAACTAATTCTTAGGTTGCTTTGGGAAAAAAGGTAATGGCTTAGTTTTACAAAGCTTTTGCAGACAAAGGTGATTTATAGACTCTACCACTGTACACAAACTATTAAGTGGAAGAGCAAAGGAAGCAATAAGGAGGAAACCAAAAGAAACACTTGGGTTGTTGTCCCATTCTTCTAACAATAGTGCATAATTTATTACATATTTACTTAAACCACTCTGGTTCTCAAAGTGGGACCCTGGGAATGCAGTTTCTTGAGAGCTCCCTCTAAAACTATTGAAATGCAAACTCTGGGAGTAGGGCGTCATAATCAGAGATTCAACAACTTCTCCAGGTAATTCTGAGGCACACTAAATTGGAAGCTACTGCCTAAACACCTGTCATTCAGTGTTGTTTTAGGACACCGTGATTATCCCCCACCCTCCTTTCACCTCTCCTCCACTCTACAGCAGCCTTGTAGTTCAGATAGGACCTGATCCTACTGGAAGTTTCAGGCGCGTATCCTCATATCAGGTGGGTAACCATTCCACACATCCTTCCTTCAATAGTGACTGGTTCAGATAACCCAAGCCTGGTATTCCTCTGACTGACATTTGAAGAGAAGTATTAGGTAGGAGATTCAAAGAAATCATAAGGAAATCACAAGAAAAATGATGAAATAATTTTACTAATCTCTCCCATCCTGCTGCAAATGCAAGATAATGAAATTTACTTAATCTAAACGGTTCTCAAAGTGAGGCCTTGTTGAGAAGCATGAGCTTCAGATGGGGGATTTAGGATTAGGCACAGTGCCACTATAGGCTCCAAGACCTGAAGGGAGATTTGATAGGGGTTTCTCTGGGTCCTTCTGGATGGTGTGGATTTTAAGATTCACTGGCATTTTAATAATAAAAGGAAGCCAGCCTTTGGATAACAGTAACACTGAAAAAGACAGAGTAGAGAAACAGAAAAATCAGGTGGCCAGTTACATCACTGTGCAGCTACATCAAACTAACTCATGAAGCCTGTCTACCTCTGGACCGTCCAGTTACACAAGCAACTAAATCTCTTTTATTGTTTAAAGGAGATTTTGCTAGGTGCAATCAAACACAGTTTAACTATTATAGTTTTCATGCCTCCAAGGATACTGACGACTGACCATGAAGTCAAAGGGGCAGGCAAGCAAGATCAGCCACCTTTCTCCTCTAATTATGATGAAGAGAGTACAAAGTGTTCATAGATAGCCATAAACCATGATGGCATCAAACAGCCAAGTAAAATTGGGTTTGGCTTGCTTCTGAACTTATTTCCAGTTCTGCTGTCTAGAAGAATGACATGGATTATACTTCCTGTCCAAGAAGAATGAAGTTAATTCTTCAGTCAAGTCTGGAATCTGGAAGTCAAGTCTGGAAGAATGCATTGGCTTTCAACAAAAGAAAAAGGTTGAGAGACACTTTTTAGCAGCTAATCTCTCCTCATTTAAGGGACATACATTAATCATAGATTGTTCCGTTCCAAAGCTCTCCATCAGTAAGGATTTTACTATTAATGCCTTATCTCTGTTCGACCAAGGGAGGGAGAACACAAATCAACTATTAAGACCGGGAACTAACTCTTAGTGAACATAAAGTAGAGCAGCACACATGAGTAAATACAATCCAGACAGGATTAAAGAACACTGAAATTAGATTGTCAGTCAGTCACCATGAGGTTAACAGGAGTTGTAGGACTTAGAGCATGGAACACAAATGCATGTAAATGGATTTGCATTACAGGTTATGTTATTACAACCCATCTGTTTCCCTGCTTCCTGGTTTTTGTTGTATTTTGGTTTATTTATTCATTTTTTTCCAAAACAAAAAGGAAACATAAACTAACATTCTGTACTTGCTCTGGAAGATGGAGTCCATTCCTTTTTCCCATTTTAACTGACTTTTCCAAGTATCGTCTGGCTTCAGGCTTTATCTTCTCCAAATCACAGGTTTCCTGAAATTAATAAGCATGACAAGCATTTCTATTGCAACAGTGCATGGGTAAAGTATAAACTATGGAGCCAAAGCAAATTTATTTGTCATCTCTGTTGGGCTGTGAAGCACAAAGGTGATTATGAGGCAGGCCCTTTTGAAGACCTAATTTCTTTTATGCTTTGGTGAGCTCCTGTTCACTTAAAAGAGAAAAATTAAACAAATAAAAAGCTACCCAGAATTTCCTAGCACTGCCTCTGAGTCCAGGACGTCTGTACCACTGGATTATGCATTTGCATAATCTCATCCAGAGCATTCTTTATGGCTGAGTGGTCTTTTTCACAAAACACATTTCTTATCGCGAATCATCTGGATTTAATTTTCTATCATTTGCTAACCTGGTTCCACTCAAGGCAGAAATAGAAATGATGGGGTAAATTCTACACAAATGCAGAGTGGGACTCTTTTGCCAATATGCCAAACAAGGACAGCTGGATAAAACCCCAGCAAAAGGCTTCCAATACTTCAAAAATGCCTTCCTGTCACTTGGCAAGGGAGATCAAGGGACTCCAGCAAGCTGCACATGAACAAGTATCTAGGGAGAATGAGTCGGCTTTGCACAAAGGAAGAAAGCTGCTGGCAATCAGCGTCTGTGTGCAGCAGCACAGCACTCGCTCCAGAGCACAGAGGGCACTGGAGGAGAGCGGAAATTCCCCAGCCTCAGCAAGGGAAGAAAAATGCCTAGTTTCTCCAAAATAAGTGGCGTATCTGGACGGCTGGTCAGTTAAGTGTCCCTAGGAGGAAACACAGACCTTTGCAGGTGTAATGGATTCAGTTTGGGTGGGAGCCAAGGAGGGCCTTCTGTCACTGGAGCCTTACGGACCTCCTATTGGTTGGACGCTTTCCATGAAGGACCAGAGTTGTTCGTCCCTGAGCATTCCTAATTTCTCAACTAATTAGATCTTTAAAAGGATTGTGTTTAGCTTTAGAGATGGTACTTTAGCTGGTGGGTATTGTGGTGCACACCTGTAATCCCAGCACCCAAGAGTCAGAGGCAAGAGGACTGTGAGTTCCAGGCTAGCTTATACTCCACAGCAAGACCCTGACTCAAAAAAAAGATGGCATTTTAGATTGCCAATGCTAGGCCGATACTGTAGTAATTTTCTAATTTTTAAAGCTTTTATGAAACCCCAGCAGCACAGCAACTAAGAGATAGCATAGATAAATGGGACCTCATAAAGCTAAAAAGCTTCTGTTCATCAAAAGAAATGGTCTCTAAACTGAAGAGAACACCCACAGAGTGGGAGAAAATATTTGCCAACTATACATCAGACAAAGGACTGATAAGCAGAATATATAGGGAACTTAAAAAACTAAATTCTCCCAAAACTAATGAACCAATAAAGAAATGGGCAAGTGAACTAAACAGAACTTTCTCAAAAGAAGAAATTCAAATGGCCAGAAAACACATGAAAAAATGCTCACCATCTCTAGCAATAAAGGAAATGCAAATTAAAACCACGCTAAGATTCACCCCTGTTAGAATAGCCATCATCAGCAACACCACCACCAACAGGTGTTGGCGAGGATGCGGGGGAAAAAGGAACCCTCTTACACTGTTGGTGGGAATGTAGACTAGTACAACCACTCTGGAAAAAATTTGGAGGCTACTTAAAAAGCTAGACATCGATCTACCATTTGATCCAGCAATACCACTCATGGGGATATACCCAAAAGACTGTGACACAGGTTACTCCAGAAGCACCTGCATACCCATGTTTATTGGGGCACTATTCACAATAGCCAAGTTATGGAAACAGCCAAGATGCCCCACCACTGACGAATGGATTAAGAAAATGTGGTATCTATACACAATGGCATTCTATGCAGCCATGAAGAAGAATGAAATGTTATCATTCGCTGGTAAATGGATGGAATTGGAGAACATCATTCTGAGTGAGGTTAGCCTGGCCCAAAAGACCAAAAATCGTATGTTCTCCCTCATATGTGGACATTAGATCAAGGGCAAACACAACAAGGGGATTGGACTATGAGCACATGATAAAAGCGAGAGCACACAAGGAAAGGGTGAGGATAGGTAAGACACCTAAAAAACTAGCTAGCATTTGTTGCCCTTAACACAGAGAAACTAAAGCAGATACCTTAAAAGCAACTGAGGCCAATAGGAAAAGGGGAACAGTACTAGAGAAAAGGTTAGATCAAAAAGAATTAACCTAGAAGGTAATACCCACGCACAGGAAATCAATGTGAGTCAACTCCCTGTATAGCTATCCTTATCTCAACCAGCAAAAACCCTTGTTCCTTCCTATTATTGCTTATACTCTCTCTACAACAAAATTAGAAATAAGGGCAAAATAGTTTCTGCTGGGTATTGAGGGGGTGGGGGGAGAGGGAGGGAGTGGGTGGTAAGGGAGGGGGTGGGGGCAGGGGGGAGAAATGAACCAAGCCTTGTATGCACATATGAATAATAAAAGAAAAAGAAAAAAAAAAAAGCTTTTGCTGCAACAAAGAACAGAAAACTATTTCACTTTGCCCACCAATAAATAATTTGTGTCACAGTACTAAAGAATTTGTTGTGTATACATTACTCAAAGTTTCCTCTGAGTTTGTCCTCAGTGCAAGCAAAGAACATTTAGACTCCTTTTTCCATAATAACTTCCTGTGTCCCCGTGGAACTTGTGAGTGTGTTGACATGACTGGGGTTGGAACTTTCCCTAGCTGCTCTTGGCACCTCAGGCAGCAGGTGCCTGGAATAGGAAGAAACCCAGAATGCCCAGGGAGATAACTGTGCCATGGGCTGGCTCCCTCAGGGACGGCCAGCAGTTCAAGTTGCAGTGTGTGATGAACTGGGTTCATCTAGGCTGGCTATAACAGTGCCAGGAAGTCTGTCCTAAAGCATAATGCACGGCAAGAAGAGTTTCTAGATAGTACAATATTGGGAGTTGTAAGGCTGGGAGAATCCAGGCTTACTGGATTCTGTGTGTGTGTGTGATCCGTGGTAAGCAGGGCTTGGCAAAGGCTGGGTAAGTTGTGAAGGACCCAGGCTGAGATGCTGAGCAGGGGACCGGCCAACAAGGAGCTGAGGCATACAGCTGATATCTTGGGTCACATTTGGCCCTTACCTTAGGACAGAGGCTCATCACAGAGCCCCATCAGCTGCTGTGAGCAGAATCAGAATTCCTACTCCATGGCCGTGCTGGGTCCTGATGGGCTCACACACTAGATAGGCCTGAATGTGCCACATGTGTAGGTAGCAGGGCTTCTTCAGGAAGCCTGGAAGTCTACTTAGGAGAGTAAATTCAAATTCATCGTCTAGATGAAAATCAAAACTATTTACTCTCAAAATAGGTGATACAGCTGCAAACAGGTAATAGGATATTTTGAGAAAAATCAGCCCTGAATTAGGTCTAATTAAAACACCACAAATTAACATACTGAAATAGTTAACTTACCACAAAAATGACAATTAATAGAAATCTGACTCAATTATAACCACACACACTTGCAAGTCAGAATCTGAGGTCTTGGGAAATCTCCGGAGGTCTATGGTAGGAGAGAGACGCCTCTAAGATGCGCTGGTTAAGCACATTCCGAGGCCAGAGCTCATCATAACATTCTCCTTCATAATCCCCTGGTGGGGGCAGAATTACTGCAGAGGATTTTTAGGAGAGAAGTGGTAACACTTCTAGACAGCTTTGCTGTAATTACACCTTCTTTCCTGAACAAGAATTTCTCCCTGGAATCTGAAGCAGGCCACAACCCTCTTGAAGTGAAGTTTCTTCTCTTTAAAGGGGAGAGGGCTGAAGGAATTCTTAAATTTATATGATCTGACAGTAGGCACCCTTATCTTAACCTCTGTGGTGACAAGATTTATTTCCTCTTAACTTCCTCCATAACAAGAGCTTTTATATAAATGTGTTAGTAGTTCTCCCCCCTGCCACAGCTATGCTTACAAATTCATTTTATAGTCAAGAAAACTGACATTAAATGATCTTCCCAAGAGGGGGAAAAGGGAATATAATGGAGGAGTGAACTTTTGCTCAAAGGACACTGTATGCGTGAATTACCACCATGAAATTGCCTCATATTATTAATGTAGTCTAATCCAAAAATAAAAGAAAAATTAAAAAATATTTTACTATACTAAAATAAGAAAGATCTTCCCAAGATCACTTAGCACAGAAATAAATTCTTTGAACTTAGTTTGTTTTAAAATTTTTGTAATAAAAGTGAGAAATTTCCTTAATTTTTCCCCAAATCCAACCCACATTCTGACTCATGACTTTGTCTTTGTCACAAGATCTCCTGTTTCCAGTTTCTAATATATGTAAATAAAAATTTATTGCAGTGGGATTTTCTGTATTGCACATACTGGATATACAAAGTAGAAATTATAATGTTGAAAAAGTCTGAAAATTGAGATAGTCTCTTCCTCTGAATGTCACTTAGAAATGGATTTACAGACTCAGTATGCTAAGGAAATAAAAGACATCAGAATGTGCTATTAGAGTCTATTTCACAAGTCAAAACAGAAAAATAACTTGTTTACTTGTTTTGTTTGCAGTTTAGCTTCCTCTTTGTTCTTTTCCCCCTTACCCATGACACCAATTGCTAGGTTTTTATCCTACTCCTGTAAAGAGGACGTCCTTGTCAGCGGCCTGCATGGCTAGGCTAGAGGACGCAGGTGACTTGACTGCTGATACAGATGTCACATGCCAGCACAGTAGTCACAGCTTTCACAGGAGCCAAAGTGAAGACACTGAACTGGGCACTACATTGCACGAAGACATAGTTAATTTGGGACCAGTTCAATTCCAGTCAACATACATTTACTGAGTTCCTATTTATGCCAGGCAGTAGGAAACAAAAGATGAATATCCTTGAGGAGTTTGAAGTCACATTAGATAGGGGTTATAAAGATCTATTAACAGACAATGTCAAATGGAGTGTGAGGAAGAGTTAAGTTCTTGGATAAAAGGAAGAAACACAAAAGGGGTGCCT